CAGGAGGCACAAAGGTATCAAAAATTAAAACTTAAAAAAAAAAAAAAGAGGGCCAGCCGAGTGGCGCGATGGTTAAGAACTGGCTTGGGATGCCAGAGGGCCCCGGTTCGGATCCCACATTAGGGCCAGTGACACTGCCCTCCACAGCTAAGATGCTGAACAACAGCTCAACCTGGAGCTGGGCTGCCGTGAGTCGCCGGCTATGGCGCAGGCTGCAGCCCCTGTGGCAGTGGGTTGCCATGGGCTACCGTGTGTAGCCAGTAGCCAGCAGCCAGCGTGAGCGGACAGCAGCCGCCGTGAGCAGCCATCCAGAAGCCGGCAACTGATCTGCCTCGCCCAGGAGGAATGCAATGATGGTGCCAACTTGGGCCAGTGGGGCGACGTCCTCCACTGCTGGACTGGGGGGCAGTGGGACAGCAGCTTGTCTGTTCCCCTTCCCCCAATTCCCCAGCGCTGTTCCCATGCCCCAATTCCCCCATAAAAATCTTTAAAAAAAGAAAACTGTCCTAAAGTAAGCAAAAATGTTACTCAAGTTAAGGAAATGCATTAAAAAACATGTAATAATTACTGCACATCACTAGTCACCTGTATAGCCTAGCAAAAGCATGATATTAACAACAAGCAGGAACCTCGGGAGTTCTAGCTTTAAAGTTCTCTTATGAGAATAAAGTACAACTTTTATGGCACCCATCTCTCAAGTCTGTAGCTGCTCCTCATGTATGACAATTTTTAATGAATCAAAATTCAACTAACAAGAACTTAGCTCTTCACTTTACTTCTTTGATAGAAAAGGAAGGAGAGAAGAGAGAAAGAGAGAGGGAAAGAGAAAGGGAGAGAAGGATGGGGGTAGGGAGAAAGGGGGTAGGGAGAAAGAAGATAGTGAGGAAGGGAGTCAGGAAAGAAGGGGGAGAGGGAGGAAGAGAGAGAAAGGGAGAGGGAGAGAGAGGGAGAGAGACAGAGAGAGAGAGAGAGAGAAAGGCGGGGGGGGGGGGGGGGAATAAGACAAAAATCTGGATTTTTCTCTCCAAACTCAACTACCAGGGAGTAGTCTTAGTAATATTCAGTGCAATCAATGCCACTTTGTACATCTATACCTTCGGTCAAAGATTATATCTTACCTCAAGATACTGTAAGACACTGTAAGAGCCTAAATAATGAAATATTAAGTTATACCTCACATGATTTACTAAAGAAAAAAATGAACTAAAACTCTTAAATTACATCTAATCATTCTAATACCTGGATATAACAGTTAACTGAAGGTTTAAGTGATAGAAAGAGCCAGGCACAGCAGATACCTAACAAAAACAGAACTGGCTTTAAAATCTCATTGCAAAGTAACTATTAGAAATATCATTGCACTAAATTTTTTCCTAGACTCCAATAAGGCAAAAAGTAGATATGAAAAACAGACTGTCTTATCCTGCCTTTAATTGCTTCCAGCTCTATTTCTATTTTGAGATATATTATTAAATCATTTTATCAATAAAGGCAAAAAGTCTAGCCTAATAAGTAAAACTGGATATTCTCCTACTTGCCAGGTTTCTCTAGAGCAAAAGTAAGATGGGCCAGCAAGGCAGTTCTCAGGAACTAAGCTAAAACCAAATTCATGTTTTGTGCATTTTTGTGATTCCCAAGGGTCACAGTGCATCACTTATCTTTTCACTTCAGGTCTAGGAAAGAAATGTTACAGTGAACGTATCTGGAATGCAAAAAGTTAACTTCTTTCCTTCCATTTATTCATTTATTTAATAAACAATAGGCATAAGTTACTATGTGAGCTAAGTTCTGTGGGGGGCATTTCATAAATGATGTAAGAAATTTAAAAATAGGGCCAGTCGGGTGGCTCGTTGGTTAAGAGTTGGCTTGGGGGCATGTGCTCTGAGCAGCAGGGCCGCCGGTTTGGATCCCACATGGGCCAGCGACGCTGCACCCTCTACAGCTAAGATGGTGAACAACATCTTGACCTGGAGCTGGGCTGCCTTGAGTCGACGGCGATGGCGAAGACTGCAGTGGACTGCCATAAGCGGCCAGCAGCCAGTGTGAGCTGCCATGAGCCGCTGTGAGCGGCTGTCCAAAGGCTGGCGACCAATCTGCCTCAGCCAGGCAGAGCACAATGATCACAATACCAACATGGGCCAGTGAAATGACATCCACCACAACTAGACTGAAGAACAAAAGGACAGCAACTTGTGTGTTCCCTTTCCCTGACTTCCCAACACTGTTCCCCTCCCCAAATTCCCCAATAAAATCTTTAAAAAAAAAAGGAAAAAGAAATTTAAAAATATTTCAGAAAACATCTAGTTCCAAAGCCTTCATTTTATAGTTCTTACAGAACTAAGACACCATAATAGCTAATGTGTACACAATTACTCTTTATATCATTATCCAGTTTTATTTTCTTCATAGTACTTAACACTACCTGAACTTATACATATACATATGTACATATGTATGTATGTATGTATTTTCTGGCTTCTCTTACTAGAATAGAAGCACCCTGAAAACAGGCATCTTTACATTTCATTCATTGCCCTACTTTCAACTCTGAGAAAAGTTATCTATCTAGCATAAGCACACAGTAGGTACTCAACTAATAATCTGTTAAATGAATAACTATAGAAAAATGAGAAAAACATATTGAAATATCACACTAGGACTTGTGAGAATGTAGAACCTGTGTGACCTTTATTCCAGAAAAAGATCACATTTGAGTTGTATGAAGTACTGGAATCCAGCTATCAAGGAAAAGGGAGTTGGTAAGAAGTAAGTATTTATTTGAACAGAAGATAACAAATTAACTTATGCAGGCATACTGGATATAAAAGCAGACAATTGTCAAAAAATAGATATTCATTTCTTCCCAAATCAAAACATCTTCAATTCATACCATGTATTAGAAATACTAACTAAACTCTCTTCATGCAAGCTAGGATAGATTTTTACATATCTACAATATTATTATTATTAAGAAAATTCATACTGATATCTCAGAGATATTAAAAACTCCTAGAAGAAAACATAGGCAGTAAACTCTTTGACATCACTCAGTAATATATTTTTAGCTATATCTCCTGGAGAAAAGGAAATGGGAAAAATAAACAAATGGGACTACATCAAACTAAAAAGTTTTTGCACAGCGAAGGAAACCATCAACAACATGAAAAGACAACCTACTGAGTGGGAGAAGATATTCACAAATAATATGTAAGGGGTCAATATCCAAAACATATAAAAAAACTCATATAACTTAACACTAAAAAATCCCCAAATAAGTCAATAAAAAATAGGCAGAGGACCTGAATCGACATTTCTCCAGAAAGGACATACCGATGGCCAACGGACATGTGACAAGATGCTCTCAGCATCACTAGTCATCAGAGAAATGGAAATCAAAACCACAATGAGATATAACCTCACACCTATCAGAATGGCCATCACCAATAAAGCAACAAATAACAAGTGCTGGCGAGGATGTGGAGAAAAGGGAACCCTGGTGCACTGTTGGTGGGAATGTACATCAGTGCGACCATTATGGAAAATGGTATGGAGATGCCTCAAAAAATTAAAAATGGAGTGGCTATATAATCCAGCAATTCCACTTCTGAGTATTTATCCTAAGAAAACAAAAACAATAATTTGAAAAGATATATGCACCCCTATGTTCATTGCAGCATTACTATTAATAGCCAAGATATGAAAGCAACCTAGATGTCCATCAATAGATGAATGGATAAAGATGTGATCACACACACACACACAATGAAATATTACTCAGCAATAAAAAAGAATGAAATCTTGCCATTTGTGACAACATGGATGAACCTAGAGGGTATTATGCTAAGTGAAATAAGTTAGACAAAGACAAATATTGTATGATTTCACTTATATGTAGAATCTAAAAAAACAAAATAAATGTATAAACAAAACAGAAACAGACCCATAAATACAGAGAACAAGCAGATGGTTGCCAAAAGGGAGGAGGTGGGGAGATGGGAATTAAAAAAAAAAAAAGTAAATGTTTAAAAAAAAAAAAAATCATGCCTGAAGGTGCCCAAGTCATATGAGGAAGCGTAAGATTAGGTGTTACCTTGGTTCTTTCCACTGCCATGTGACACCCATTACTAAAACAAGAGTTTGAATAAATATGAACCAAAAACTTAAACCCAAGCAAGTCTCTAGACTTAACTACCAGTTTATAGGAAATGCAGGGGACAAAAGAACATGTTAAATGATGCCATAGGGACACGATCAACAAAATCTAGAATATGGGACAAACACTCTGAAGGACAAATACCTGGTTTCTTTAATAAATACATCACAAGAAAAAAAGGGGTAAAGGGAACCTGTAGATTTAAGAAGTCCTAAGAAACCTATCTACCAGATGCAATGTGTGGTCTTTGTCTGGATCCTGATTTAAACCAATCAACTGAAAAGCAAAATTATAAAACATTTTCAGCAGCATACATCTAAAATTACCTACGAAAAATGACTTTTATAAAAACTCCACCTGAAGTTTTAATCAATCTATATGAATACTGACTCTGATTTTAATAACAAGACTTCCTCTATTACTTCAGGTTATTTTGTAGCAAACACATTAGTAGTGTTAAATCTAAGCTCCATTGTTAAAAGTTGGTCTAAAATAATAAAAAAAGATAATTAACAATCTTCTCTTTGCCTTTTCTCTTCACCTTCAGAAACAAGGAGTTTATTAGAAGCAAATAAAAATAAGCGAGGCTATTAGAAAAAGAAACATAAGCAAGATTCTTAGTGCTACATGTTTTTAAAATATTGCTTCACTCTAATGATGTTCATTCATTTATTAACAAATATTTATTCAGCACCTATTATAGTATCCTAAGCTCCTTGCTAGGGATTAGAAGAAAGAAGTTATCAGAAATATTTATATTTGAAGTGATAAAAACTGAAAAATATCTCTAGGACTTCCAGTAAATGTGAAATATTACAAAATTTTTCAAAAAGATGTTTCAACTTACACTTTGTTCCTCTGATTCTAATTTGGGGATTTTGTGTGACTTGCGCTCTTCAGATCTAGATGAGTCATGCTTGTTGCTTTTTTTCCTCTTTTCTTTTCTGCTTTCATGCTTTGACTTTGTGTATTCGCTTGCCTGGACTTCATTTAAAAGGTCTCCACAAAGGGAAGACTCAAACAGTTCCCTGCCATTCTGGATAGTTTTGGTTATTTTTAGTTTAATTTCAGGTGAGCCAGTCTTCTTTGGAATCACAGTTTGTGGTACCGAAGGAGGAGGTGGTAGCTGTGGAGGAGACGGTTTTTCCAGAATTTCATGTGGTCTTGTGTTTGGAATTTCTGAATGGTAATAGTCAGTGGGGCTAAAGTTTCTAACTGCACCAAAGCCATTGGCTGACCCATTGGGGTACTGATTATATGACTGGTATTTGGTTTGAGTTTCATACATACTGATTGATGATGGATAGCCATTTGTGAGTGGAGGAAGATCTTCCGTTGTAGGTGGGTACTGAAAGCCTTGCTGCAAGGTAGCTTCATATGGTGTATGGCCACCATCTTCAACAATGTCACTGTTGTTATCAAAGGCATCCTCCTGACGAATGTTGGCGGAGTCAATGAGTTGAGGTGGTTGCTGAATTGTGTTTCCCATGATCCCTTGCATGAAAGAGAAAGAGAAATCCATTGTTCTGCTCCAGCATCCTTAACTTTCCCTTTCTCTCATCGGGCCTACAATTTTAAAAGAGGAGATTAAAAAGTGTTAATATCCTCACAGGGTAGAAGCTAGTCAATTGAAAAAGGATTAGACTAAAATATTCTAAACCCAATTTTCATATCCAGATATGCACACATTAAATATTTTTTAAACAGCCAATATAGTTCTGACACAGGGCAAATATTTTTTATCTTAAATGCTCGTATGTTTGAAACTCTCAATTACTTTCACAATAACTTTGGTAGCAAATTTTATCCTCTTTGCAAACATGTGAAATAGTTTTGACATTCTTTTGTTTTCCAAGTTAGATATTATAATTCTCAAATTAAACCTGATAACGTGCAATAGAAGCAGTGTCCTTGACACATATAAATTAGGTTCCATAGAGCTTCCGTTAAATCATTCATGTTCTGTCCAGTGGTTCTTTTTGTTATTATAAAAATAAAATCTTATTACAAGGATTTTAAATACAAAAGTAAAAATGACTATTGTTCTCTCTCTCCATCATTCCCATTTTCCTGTGTCATGAATAACCACTGTAAACACTTTCCTGGGTATTCTTCCAAATCTTTATATATTTACATATAAAAATTTAAAAATAGGGTTATTCAGTGACTTGCTTATTCAACTGAATATATCCTAGATATCTTTCTACATCAGCATGCATAGATAATTTTCATATATACTTCATTCTTTAAATGGTTGCACAGTAAATAACTGTGGTACCTAAGATAACGTATTTAACCATTTGTGTACTGACAATCATTTAGTTGTTCACAATTGTTTGATATTATAAACAAGTCTACAGGAAACTTTCTTGAAACTATATATCTTTGTGCATATACATATTCCTATGGAACAAATCTGAAATTTTGATACTGCAAAACTGTTCTATAGGCTGTACTATAGCAATTTACATTCATACCAATAGTGTGTAAGGATTTCTGACTCACTATACCCTTGCCAGTATCTAGATGTTTTTAACCAGTGGTATAAACAGCAGAATCATCTGGGGTACTTTTACAAAACACATTATGTCCAGGTCTTTACTGATAAATCTGATTCAATAAATTTGGGGTGAAGCCTAGAGCATGAGTATTTTAAGACCACAGTCCAGTTCATTCTGATGCACACTCTTATTTGAGTCACTGCATTATAATCTTTGCATTATACTCATTGCATTATACTCTTAGTTATTGCACCTCCTCTAGAAGGTGTTAAAGATGCCCATATTATGTTAGAATGTTATAATATAGATGAGCATCTGTTAGGAAATGCTCTAAGACCACTCTGTTTTGTCAAAGGTTTGACGATCCCATATCTTGAGACAGAGGATTAATGGACAGTACAGATATTATTTTGATAATCCCATAAACATTTTTCTAGAAAGCTCTAAGGCAGAGAGGATTTCAATACTTATGAAGTCTGATAAACTAATTATAGCTTCGTGAAATACTGTGCAGAAGAAATCTGAAGCTACAGCGTGGTTCAATTATATGACTGTTTAATAATGTCTACCATCTTGGTTCTAGTAGGATTTACCAAAATGATAAGGCAAGTAACCCAAAGCAGCAAAGGGAAGAGAGGGGAAAAAAAACTGACTATACACTTTTCAAGGCGTATTCAATTATGCAGCTGCTGTTTATTCTTTTAGCAAATGGAAAGAATTTTAGAAGTTCTAAAATTGCAAACAAATGCGTGTAAGCATACAGGAAATCAAAATGCTCATACTGCTCTACCATGGAACAGTGGGTAGGAGGTATCAGAGTACTCTCATTTTTTTAGCATCTACTCTGGGCCAAGCATTTACACATTATCTCATTTAATCCTCATAACAACTCTGTAAAATCGGTATTGTGATTCCTGGTTCAAAGGTAAAAGAAACTGAGCTTCAGAGGGATTAGGTGGGTTGCTTATATCACAAAGCAAAGGGGGCAGAATTAGGATCTGAATCTAAGCATGTTTAACTCTAAAGCCCATGATTTTTACCACTATACCACTTCCACTTCCCTAAGCTACAGGTTCTGAGAGGACTCATTTTCTTTTGTTCATGTACTTTATTCCTTGATCACTACCAAAATAGTAACTATTCTATTAATAACCACTACTAACACTTAAATCGTGCTTAGTTATATGCCAGGAACCATTCTAAATACTTTACATACAATATTACTTTAATCCTCCCAACAACCTTCACATAGATATTCAGTTCCCATTGTAGACAGGGAAACAGAGACACGTGTTACATGACTTGCTCAAATGCGCAATGCTAGTCCTTAACTGACAGAGCTGGAATTAGATCAAGGTAATCTGGCTGCAGCATCTGTGATCCTAACCAGCATACTATCCATACTGATAATGCTAATGTTAGAAATCATTTCTTTATGCATAGTTTAAGAATTGAAACATTACCCTAATTTGACTCTTGTAAAAAGTTGTTGGTCACAGACACAAGAAGGGTATGTTCTAAAATTCTGTAAATACACATGGGGCAACTATATATAAGTGGAATTCAAAAAGTTCTTCAAACTTTCAACTTGAAGGGAAGTTAAATATGGACATTTGACAAGAAGCAACCTGATTTTTTGGTTAGCATACCTGTCACATACAAGATCAGCTTCCAGATTAGTCTCTCAAATTATAGTCTTCAAAGGTAAAGTGAATCTCAAAATGAGGAATCAGGCAAATCCAAATGTGAAACATTCTCTCACACAACTGACCTGAGCTCTTCCAAGCTAATGTTATTAACAAACCAAAGGTGGAGAGACTATTTTAAATTTTAAAAGACAAGATTTAGACAACCTAATTCAATGCATGAACTTTGATTAAATTTGGAATTTAAACACATACCCATAGGTTAAAAAATATGTATTTTGGAGAAAACTGAGAATTTTAAATATGAATTGGCTATTAAACAATGGAGCTATTAATTTTCAAGGTTATGATAATAGTATTCTGTTTATGTTAAGAGAATATCCTTATTCTTAAGAAAGCCATGGTGATACATTTAAAGTGTTATAAGATCCACAATTCTCAAATGGTTTAGGATGTTAAAAGTACATGTACCTAGAGTGGAAAAAAAAAAAAAAAGGCAAAATGCGAACAATGGGCTAATCCAGGTGTTCACTGTAATATTCATCCACTTTCCTAAATGTTTGAAAACTTTAAAAGTAAAAAGTTCGGAAATAAATAATTTGGCTAAGGGCTAGAAGAAATCTTAAAAAGAAAAAGCTACAGCTTCTTAAAGTGGTAAAGCCTACATCAAACCTCGACACATATTCTGACCAACTAAGCCAAATGGTCCACATTGTTAAATTTTCTAGAAAGTCTAAGCATGAACAGAGTGACACTTTTTTATATTATACCTCCAAATAATACAATAATGCAATCAAGAAAGTAGTTCTGATAATTTAAAAAATATTTTAGGACTATAACTAAATTCCTTTATAGTGATTTTTATAAGTACTGGAGTCTGGTAGCCAGCTTTCAAACAGCAGTCGTACCGATTGATGTAATAATTAAGAACTTACAGAATTAGGAGGCTCTCTAGTGAGCACTGTGGTTAAAAGTATAGGCTCTGAATTAAACTGCTAGGTTCAAAGCCCAGATCCAAGGCTTCTTAGCTATGCAGCTTAATCCCTAAATCTCAATTTCCTTATCAAGAAACTGCAGATATTTACAATTGTCTGTCTACCTTGCGTTGTTGTAAGAATTAAGTTAATCCCATGGATAGTACTTCGGACAGTGCATGGAATACAGTTCGAGCTCAACTACCTGTTGGCTTTATCATCATTCAGGGTAATGTTGGGCACCAGAACTTGTGAAGAACTTGATCTCTGACCTAAAGGCATTTATATTGTAGTAGTATACTAGACCAGATAAAATTTTATGGGCAAGACTCATAGAAAAGTAGTGAACATTGTGAAACAGAAGGTACAGAATTAAACTGTGTTACCATTATAACAGACATTTGAGAAGAACAATTCACTAGGCAAGGAGGCATTTAGACCACAAAAGACAGGCAGGATGTAGAAGTTAGGTGTTTTTAACCCACTAATTTTCAAACCACCGCGGTACAGGTCACCAAAAATTCTCACACCTTTGTAAATCCCTGATAAAGATGGCATATTTTAATTTGTTTGTATTACTAAAGTGACAATAATGGCTAACAACTGAGGACTTACTATGTGTCAATACTATCCCCTAAATGCTTCACATTTGTTATATTATTTTACTCCTCATAACACACCTTTGAGGAAATACTATTACAACCCCCATTTTACAAATGAAAAATGAAGGCCAGCATGATTAAGTAGTAATTTGCCCATAGTCAGACATCTTGTAAATGGAGGATTCAAACATAGGCTAGGCTATCTTTTCCACAGCACTGGCTCCTTAAAAAGTAAGCTCTTCTCCTACAACCCCTAAGTATGTAAATAGCAACAAAAACAAAAATATTCACACTTTATACTTCACACTTCCCCAGTCTCACTCCTCTGAGTGAACAATGTGATGGGAGATTAAATAATGATACTAGTCTTCCACCCACTGTAATACATACTTCTAAGTAAATGAAAACACCACAGGCAAACAATATATGACAAATTCTTCCTCTGATCAATGTTTCTAGGCTTTTTTTAAAGACAAAAATCAGTCAGTAAACACTTTTTTCTTAATTTTGTTGGAGCTGTCTACAAACAGTATTAAAGGGGAAAAAGTTGAAAATTATTAACTAAAGCTTTAAGGCTCTTACTTATCTACCGACTGATTCATGGAGTGATAATAGAAAAGTTCTCACAATCCTTAAGTCAAATCTTAGACACGGAGTTTTTAAAAAAGAAGCACCTCACATGGTTCAGATGAACAGCTTGAGGCTATAAATATCAATTAAGTATTCGTGATGTGTTCAATGTATAATTTAAGTCACTATGACAAATTCTTAAAATGAACAATTCTTTGGTACATCATACATATTGCTGAATTCTATTTTATAGAATTAGATGCTGTGCTTTAT